ACTGATGTTTCTAAAGCCATTGTAGTAGATGGCACATCTGCGAGAGCTGTGGGAGTGGTTCGACCCATTTTTTCTCTAATAGTTGTGATTTTATTTGTAAAGAAGCTCATGAAGTCATTGCTGCTGAGATCTAAGGGAATGTTAAGCTCAACAGCACTGTGGCTCTTTGTCAGCCTGGCTACAGTGCTGAAAAGAAACCTGGGGTTGTTCTTATTTTCCTCAATCAGTGATGAACAAAATGCGGTTCTGGCACTACGAAGGGCTTTTTTATATGTTATTAAACTTATTATCTTTCCCGGCTATGAAAAACTCTTCTGACTTAGTGGAGCACCACCTCCTTTCCAGTTTTTGTGATGCCTGCTTTAGGAAGCAGAGCTGCGAGCTGTACCACGGGGCTAACCTCCTGTTTCACTGCCTTCTTTTTCAGGGGGCAACAGTATCAAGTGTATTACGCAGGAAGGCTGCAGTACTATCAACAAGATTATTGATTTGTGTGGGAGTAAAGTTAAGGTGGCCTCCTTCCACTGTGTTGGCAAACGGCACTGAAGTAGATAAAGACGGAATTACTGTATTTCCTTAAACTTGGTAACAGCATTGCCAGATAGACATCTGCTGTAGTGGAATTGTTTCCCACATAGAGTATAATCCATTAATGGAAATTCAAAAGTTATTAGAAAATGGTCAGACAGAAGAGGGTTATGGGGAAAAACTATTAAGTGTTCAGTTTCGATGCCATATGTCAGAACAAGATCAAGAGTGTGATTAAAACAGTGAGTGGGTTTATTTACAGTTTGAGAGAAGCCAACTGAGTCTAATAATGAACAGAATGCATTGTTGAGGCTGTAATTGTCAGCATCTACATGAATATTAAAGTCACCGACTATGATTATTTTATCTGTACTAAGCACTAAATCAGACAGAAAGTCTGAGAATTCACTTGACTAGGTGGGGTGGATTCATTTAAACTGACAAGTTCTTCCTGCTGTAACCACGTTTCAGTAAGACACAATAAATCAATGTGATGTTCACTTATCAAATCATTCATAACAGAGTTTTAGATGAAAGAGTTCAGATATGAGTTCTCATGAATAACTCCTCTTGAGTTGATTTTTGATTTATATAATTTAGGTGATTGGGGGGCAGACACAGTCTCTATGGGTTACTGGGAGTTTTGGGTGGGTATCAGCTGCAAAGAGACAGCGGAGAGGCGTGTAAGACTGTGACCCTGCATCCTGGACTCAACTCTGGGTTGTCACAATTTAGGTTGTAAAATAAACTCGTCCAGATTTCTAGGTAAGAGAGCCGCACCACCCAAAGTGGGATGGATGCCGTCTCTGCTAATCAGACCAGGTTTTCCCCAAAATGTTTTCCAGTTGTCTATGAAGCCCACATTATTTTCCAGGCACCGCAGTTGTCTAGGTGGTTGGCTGGTCATATTGGGCAGGGGTCCAGAGAAAACTACGGAGTCTGATATTGTTTTAACGAAGTTACACACCGACTCCACATTAATGTTTTGTGACCTCCACTGGTGAAGTCGGGAGTCATTAGCATCCCTTTCTGATAAAAGGGGTGTGTCGGTCCATAAAAGACTTTAGTGAAGGATGCTCTCATGTATCCTTGATCATAGCTTCTCCAGGCAGCCTCCTCACTCACCAACCAGAGCAGGAGTAGAAACTTTAGGCCATCCTTCAAGATGGGGACAGGATCAATTTCAGGTTTGTGTGAAGATTGAGGAGCGATGAACGATCAGTTAGAGGACTTTGAATTTACCCCTGGTTTCAGATAGTTTTATCTTTGTTCCTTTCCAGCAGCATCAGCACTGAGTTTGTTTGTAATAAACAGAACCAGGACTTGGTGGATTTTGCACAGCAAGCCTGAGGAGTGCCTTCCTGCCTAGGCTGTCTTCAGATCAATCTTACAGATCAGTTTGGGCTCCTGTATTGTGGAATGGTCTGCCACGGGATATTAGATCTGCTCCGAACCTGATTGTTTTTAGATCACTTCTTAAAACGCATTTGTATTCACAAGCTTATAACAACTTCACTGATTGATGTATTTGTTTTGATTATGCATTTTTGCTGTTGTTGTTTTATTGTGTAGATGTGTTTTATCTGGTTTTATTAAATTTTATTATTTTTTATGTTTTACTGTAAAGCATCTTGTAACGTAGGTTTAGAAAGGTGCTATATAAATAAATTTTTCTTGCTTACATTGATTAGCTTCACACCAAGATTCCAATCACAAGTTGCAACAAGCTCACCATGGCAACCAAATTTGCTTGTTTTATCAACATTTCTTTTGGCAATTCTGACAAATCAAAAAGAAGCATGACAAAAGCAAAAGGTAAAATAAAGTCTGCAATCAAGGGGATCTGTGAAAAAGCTGTCACCTTAAGTCCCTGAAAAAATGTTATGATGGTGTGCAGAGTTTCAAATGTTTAGACTATGGATTAAAGTAGAATACAGCTGAACTGCAGGATGTTGTACTCAGGACAACCACTCCTTCACAAACTCAAACCGCAGTCCTCCAATTAAAAAACAGCTACCTCTTATTAAGTGTCTATTAAACATTACTTTCAGGTATGTGCTGTAATGCGTGTGTCTGTGTGTACATACTGTATGGGTGTGTGTGTCTGGAGGGTGAAGCCACAAGCATGTTGAAAATGTAAATGACTAGCTGAAGTGGAATTGAGACAGACTCAGTGTTATATTTGGTGTCAACATCTACTGTAGTTGGTTTGGGATTTATGCAGACATCGATTAGTGTATATGTGCCTGTTTACAGTATGCGTGTGGGTTTGTGAGCATGCGTGTACATGTTCCAACACTCTGCTCACAGCAGTGGTGCCAATGATTAGCTTGTCTGTCTATCTGAGCTGCAAAGAAACCTCAAAGGTCTCTTTCATTTCAGTACCACAGCTGACAGTGCTGTCTGTGTGCGTGTGTGTGTGTGCGTGCGCGTGTTCTCCCACTGTTCAGCAGTCAAAACAGCATGACAGCTCCATGGAAGGAACATGTACAGACACACACAGTACCATAAGCTGTGGTGGTTTATTCACCTTGAGGCGTGATGATGACATGATTTATTTTGTCACTGGATCCATGCAGTAAGATCAAACTGCTGTCTGAGTTCATCTTAGCAAACCATGAATGTTTCAGCAGCTGCACTTGTGAAAAAGCTTTTTACATGAGTGTGACTTGGGACAGCTCATCTTAAAGTTTTTCAGCAGTGATAGCTGCCTCGGTTCACATGAAATGTGGTTTTAAGCAATGCAAGATGTGTAGTAAAAGCTTCACTGATGGGCGGGCTGAAAGTGCCACATCTACACTGGCTGTGCATATTGTCAGAGCACTCTCTTACTGTACATGCACAAATTAACACTAGATTGCCAAAAACCTCTGTATTATGCCACTGACTGGTTTGGATTTAACCCTTTGAACTTGATCCTGTTTTTGCTTGTTCTTCCACCCTTATCAGTCAACACATGAGCTGGACATGTCATATTCAGGAGAAATCAAGCTACTCAGAAATGCCATGAACTGGCTTCTGAGTGGTTTTTGTTTTAAAAAAAGCACTGACATGGGTCTTATGTATGTGTGAGGCAAGATTGATCATGATGAGAAGCACTTCCTTCATGATTTGAAGGTGGATTTATGGACATCAATGACTCAGAGAAGACAGGGTAAAATCAGCTGCTAGGAGTTAACATGGAAAATCAGTAAGAAATCATGGCTTCGCCTAATCTGTCTACCTCATGAAAACACAAAGCTCCCTATCCAAAACATACTCCCTCATTGTGTTCAACACACTGTCTCCTACTCGTGAGGCCATTCAGTAACCTTGAGCTGCAACCACTGGTCAGTTCACCGATTGGAAATTAGCCAGCAAAAACACCAAAATAAAATAGAGTAAAACTAAATATCTCTGGATTTGTTGATTTCATAAAAGCAGTCAGAAACATCTTCATGGCATATGAAAACACCACCTTTGATATCTTTCTCAATTGTTGACATGCTGTGAATAAAACTAGTAGAGCCAGGGTGCGATATTTGAACATCCGGAGACAGATCAGCTCATCCGGTCACAGCTCAATGACCCATGGCTTCTTTTTTTTTTTTTTTTAATTTCCACTCATTTATCCAGGATTTTCCTTTAATTTGAGACCCATCTGTATATTTGCACTTCCTGTTGTAGTGGTGGTACTGTACCTGTCAATGTGCCACTTCCTCTCCACCAGCAGGTGGATTTCTTCAATGCGTCTGTTGTTAGCGTAGTGCAGCCTTTTAGGCAGGTGCTGCTTCAAGTATGGCTTAAAGTGCTGGTCTGCTTTCTTACACTGAAAATAAAAAACACATTGGTATTTTGACCTTAGTATTGCATGTGTATCTTTATTGCCTCTACAACAGTACAGTTCTCATGTTATTATGTTTTACAAAATCAGCTCTGTTAAAACTCACTGAGTTCAAACATCACACACATTCTTATATTTTTCATGCAAGCCTCACACTTACTGTTAAATTTGCAACAACAGCCTTGGGGTCATCTGAAAAAAGCACAAAGGTCAGAGCAGAAAACCACTGCAAAACATTTACCATCCTTTGTAAAGTACAATGAAGATCATACTGTACTCTACATCTCAACATGCAAACAGCAAATGTAATGGACTTCAGCTGCTGCACTAGTGACACGTGATCATTTTTGTGGGTGTAGTTTGTGCTGCTGCTGAACTGTATTATACAGTTATTATACAGACAGGAGTTTCTGTTACTTAGTACAACCTCACTGATATACATTGGTGGACTAAATAAAAGAATCATGACAGAAACAGCAGCACAAATGTCATCCTCAAAATGACCATACAGTTGAATCAACACCTCTCTGAAACACAATCTGAACCTTACGAAGGAGGGTTTACTGCAGGACTGTTGGGTTAGATTGATGAAGAATTATGTGTACTTACTAAAGGTCCAATCAAGTGTAGGTTAGTTAGGACAAATGATTTGTTTATTTGATTGGAACATGCTTCTACTCACTCTGATATGGCACACTTGCAGTACAACACTGCTTCCAGTGTTAGCTATTGCACTGTAGCGAATGTGCACACTGCCAGTGAGCAGATCAAAAGCGATTGTTTCATATTTGTTAATGAGGGTCTAACAAACCAAAAGTTCAGAATACAGTGAAGCCGTCTGCACAAATACAGTAAGTGGGCAGAATGCCTAAACATGTCAGATGAGAACTGGTGAAAAACAGACACAAATCCAAACAGAATAACAAAAGAACAAAAAGTACAAACTAATAAAAGAAAGAAAATCACACAGACACCTTGTATGGGCAGAGAGAATGGAACGCTCTCTCTCTCTCACTCTCTCTCTCTTACATTTGAGGTTGTTGGGGTATCTGGAGCGTATTCTGCCTAGGGACCCAGGTATGAGGATGATGTCATTAACGCTGGCCATGTAGTTACTGAGGAACTCAGTGCGATCACAGTGGGCCTCCTCCATACCTGAGAACATACAAGAAGATTGCCTGTCTATCTAAGCTGCTTCAGTGGAGTTGCTTTGTGTTCATGTAGTACTAGGTATAAAAGGAACCAGTAAAAATAATTTCTTTCAGCATGAGATTTTGATGTCACAGTGCGTGTCTGTGCTGGTGTGCATGTCTATACCGTGATCCCCCACCAGGATGATGTTGACACAGCGGTGCAGTTTCATCTGTTTAAGTCCGTTCATCAGTTGGCCAATGATTCTGTCAATCATCCTCAGAGGGTTGTTCAGCTGGAACGCACAAAGGGAGTCAGGGTCAGATGAGCTTCGATGAAACATAATATGCACACAAAGAAATAATGATCTGGCATGTATGGCACTGTGTCTGTTTTGTGGGCTTTATGATGTCCAGCAACATACACACACACACAGTGCAGTAGACTACAAATGTTTAAGGCACTTTAGATGTTAAACAAATGTGCACAGTTTGCGTAGTAGACCTGGTGCTGTTTGAAAGGCAAATATTGATTTGATATAGACATTTTCTGTTTACTGAATGTTGTGTGAAGTTCACTGATAGATAACAACTATCAGCATTATATGTGAAGGCATCCTCACTTTACTTTTAGAGCCTAAGACATTTGCACAGTAGTGTATATGCACACGTGCAGATACGGAGCACTCACGTCTGTGTTCATGGGCCCCATTTTGTGTCCATCTGTGTCTGGTTGTTCAGAGTGCATGGCGTAAACATAGGGCCTGAAACACATATTAGAGATGTGTTTGTTAGAGTTGCAGTGGTACTAATAATACCTATTGTTTGGCATTTGGCGATATGACTGAGACAGTAGCCGAGTTTCAGTACTTATACCAAAATAACACTGTGCATATGCTATAAATAATGTCTATTTTCATTCTGAAGGACCAACTGTGGCACAGGATTAGATTACATAACCTCAACCAACTAATGAGAAATAGTAACTTTTTCCACCTTTGTAGATAGGCTGTGGGTGCAAATGTTGACAAGGAAAAAATATAAAGCAAGAAAAAAACAGGAAGATAAAACACACGTGAAGTAGACATAAAAATGTCAACAAAATTCACCTCTCTCCTTCAGGGAGATGGAGCCACTGCAGTATGGTCAGTATCCTTCTCTCTAATGGAATAGTGCTGGAAAACACACAAAGACACAATGCAGGGTAGCTTTGGTTAACATTTAGCTGCTAGTGACAAACAAGCTCCTGCTCTCTTGAACCATTAAACCCTTAAACTCCAAACTGTTCTTCGTCAAAGCACCTTGTAGTTGAGGGTTGTAGAGTAGAACAAATTAAACTGTCTGAAAGTCAAATGCTGCCTAGTGATGAAGCCACCAACCAAGCAGCTGGCTGTCAAACAGTCCACAGCTGTCAGCCTTCAAGCCCAGGATAAGGCTCTGAATAGGTCTTGATGTACGAGGCCGCAGGGGGTTAACACTTGACAGCAGGCTTCTTGTCTCTGTGTCTGCTCTCTTTCTGTACTTTTGTCTCTGTTTACACTATCAACTCTATATTCCCTCCTACCAATGTGTGTTTTATATATGCTCCCTTTCTTCTTCTTCTTCCTTCTTTCTGTCCTCCCTTGTTTTGTGCTTATGGTTGGACCTCCCAGAAAGCTGAGCCCAACAACCTTCACCTAGAGCGACAGCACCTGGTCCCTATAACCATGCCAATCCCCCCAGTCGTACTATAACACTAAACTAAACACTAAACACAGACTCCCACTCTCTCCACCTTCCTGTAATATACACACTCCTCTCTCTTACTTCTTATTCTCTCTTTCCTTCGGTCAGTGCCAAGTGCAAGAAACGCACTGGAAATGACACCCTTACCCACATGGTGGTATAGAGTAGCATGGCCGTGACCCTGGTTCACAGAGGAATCATGTATAGTATCAACAAGCCCATTTGCACAAATTGCTATAAAAACAGCCAAACGCCATCCCTCTGCTGAGATCCACCTCCTGCTTCATCAGAGCCTTCCCTGTGCTAATGAGGGCTTCTTTGTGTTTCACAGGCTATAGTGCAGTTTAGTGCAGCAGCCTGAGTGAGCAGCAGGAACATGAAGCAGCATGTTCTGATGACTTGGAGAACTTTCACCACCAAATAACTTACCGTGTCTGAATTATTTGATCAGTGCAGGTGCAGCTGCGAAGAATGCCAAATGAGTTGTGGTGCTCCTCCATCAGTCCCCCTCCAGGCAAAATGTAGCTTGGCTCATGTGACAAGTGAGAACACAATCTAACCCAAAAAGATCAAGGCTTTATGGGAAAGAGGGGATGGATGTTACCATCGGATGGGCAGCATTTATTCATGGCACCCAAGACAAAATAAGCCACTGCCACTCATATTTTATAATTATGACAAAGCACACGCACACACACACACACATGTCCAATGACAGTGAATTTGACTCGTTTCTGGTCACCTTGCTGCAAAAATCTTGTCTGGCTTACCAAAATACTGTGAAATAGACAAGCTACTTCTGACTCCCTGTGAAGTAAAATTACAGATGACATTTTATTTGTATTTAGGCAGAGTGAACTGTAGTTGTAGAGGTGCCAAAGTCAGATGACCTGGAATGGAAAAAACAAATAAAACAGAGTGTTGTGTAATACTGTATGTACTCTACTAGAGCTGCGTGCAGTCTTCTGCAGCTCTATCATTAGTTTTTTCATTGAGCTTGTCACCCAGAGCAACATGGTGGTGCAATGGTGCAGCCGAGGTACATGTGAGAAAGACTATAGCTGTGTCTCATGTCTCTTATATGGATCCACGTAAGATGCAAGGAAAACATGAGGAGAGAGGATTCAAAGAAATGCCCATAACCTTGTTAATATAATACATTTTGACCTGTCACAATAATAAAGAGAATGATGGCTGACTTCCATTCAGTTACCTCAATTTCAGTGTCCTGCTACTGGTGCTACTTGGTTAAGATTAGTATGTGTGTGCGTGCATGTGCCTTTGTATTACTTACATTATGGGGACTGAAACCTGTTAACACACTCACATTGTGGGGACTTGGCCTTCCTTGTGGGGACCAGAGGGTGGTTAGGGTCAGGTTAAGTGTTAGGCAAGTAGGGTTAGGGTTAAGGTTAGAATACTGTATGTCTACAGGAAATTAATGTAAGTCAATGTAAAGTCCCCACGAGGAATGAAAACACAGTATGTGTGTGTGTCTAGGCCATTCACTGTCCCTCAGCCTGTGGCATATTGACATATACTGGGCAGCAAGTCTTGCCCTGTCTCCCTGTCCTAGGAGGATTTTTGATTCTGAGTTCATGTAGCTTTGAAACCAGGAATTGCAGAGTCAAACTTTTCAAAACACACCTATTTATAAAAAGACATTGAGAGCAACAGAGTGGTGAGTTCGGTTCTACGGTTGTACTGATGAAATCCACAAACTGAACTATAAAAATCAGACTTACTATCTCTCCCATTAGTGGCAGAGGTTTAAACCTGCAGAAAAGTGACATTTTCTCTCTTTATTTGGTTAAAAAGCACAAATAATGGTCCACTTTAATTATGAGTATACCCTGCCTTTGCCCAATTGCTGGCTGGGATTGGCTCCAGACCCCCTGCGACCTCGTTGCATGGGACCGTCATCGGCATAAAAGATGGATGAATGAATAATTATGAGTACACTACATTTAGAAGGTCAAAAAAAAAAAGAGATTACGATGAATGAGACACCTGAGCTATGTATTTTTAGCCAGCATTTAGCAGAATTTTTTGGCAATCATTTAAATGTCATATTTGTTATTTAATTTATTTTCCAACCTCCCAACTAATTTATTGACACATTACTGCGCATGTTGGGTTTTTTGTTTGTTTTCAGATGACATAATAAAGCAGAGAGCATGGATACTGTCTGTTGGGACTTCACACGTGGTTTGGCTGTGATCTTTGCAAACTACTACAGTTTCAGCCTGCAGTATACTGGAGATGCTTCATGCACTCTGGAATTGATCCAAAGGTAATATCATTACTGTTTTGTTACATTAATGTTGTACTTGTGTACTTACTATTTTACTTTACATTCTAGCTTGTACAGGAGGAGTTCAAGTATCTTGGGGTCTTGTTCACGAGTGAGGGAAGGATGGAACGGGAGATTGACAGGTGGATCGGTGCAGCTTCTGCAGTAATGTGGTCGATGTACCGGTCCATCGTGGTGAAGAAGGAGCTGAGCTGTAAGGCGAAGCTCTCGATTTACTGGTCGATCTACGTTCC